TTTTTTTTTTTTTTTTTTTTTTTTTTTTTTTTTTGTTTATATATTTTGATAAATAATATTTCTAAAATTCTGTATATTGATAAGTTTTGTTCTTTAAAGAGATAAATATTTATATTTCAAATTAAAAGATATAATATTATTGTTATTTTTAAATTACCTTATTAATATCATAATTATTAATCAAATAATTTTCTATATGATAGTAATATTTTTTATAAACTATTAAAAATGTAAATCTTTAAAAATGATGAGCTATAATAATGTGGAACCATATGTTATTCTTATGAACACATATTTATAAATTATTATCAAAAATTAGTGACATAATTTTATTTTTATTTTATTTTATTTTTTTTTTTTTGTTTTAAAAAAATGAATATCTATTTTAACATTTGTAAAACATGAATAATTTAACATAAATTGTTGAATTATTTCAATATGTGTAAACATAATTTATATGTGAAAATTTCTAATGTGTCACTTTGTAAAACTGTGTGGATGAGTTATACATATGTTAATTAACTATTTTATTTATTTATTTATTTATTTTTTTTTTTTTTTTATTTTGTCAACCTATAAATAAATAAAATGATTTCTATGAAAAGATGTTTTTGTATATGTTTTATTATTTTTTCTTATTTCTTATATATTTTGCGTTAGGAGTTCATTACAAAAATAGATTGAGAAAACATTTATATTTAAAAGAAAATTTTGAATTATTAGGAAAAAATGAAAGAAAGTTAAAAACCTACTTCAAAAATAAATTAAGAACATACCTTTATTTGAAAACTAATTATAAATTATCAAAAAAAAAAAACAAGTATAATTTAAAATTAACAAATACATTTGTATCAAAATATTATAAAATAAATATCAACGATGTTTACAATTATTTAATCAGAAAAAAATATGAGTACATAGAAAGTGATATAAAAATAACATTAAAATATTGTCCTTTTTGTCCACCGCACAAATATAAATATGATAATATGTATAAACATGAAATTTTTAAAAATACTGGTAATAGTTATTGTCATAGATGTGGATATAAAGGAAGTTTTTATGATTTTAAATTAAAAATGGGAGATATAATAACAGATAACTTTGAAAGCAGTATTTCAAGAAATACATATGATGAAGAGAAAATAACTTTTAATGATGTAAAAATGTATAATATAAATTTATTATATTCAAAAGAAGCAGAAAATGCTAGAAAATATTTAATTAATGAAAGAAAATTAAACTTAAAAACAATAAAAAAATATTATATAGGTTATACCGTTATAGAGTTTCAATCATTCGAAAATTCTGGTAAGTTTGAAAAGCATGAATGTTTAGTATTTCCTTTTCTTAAAAAAATTGATGATAAAAATTCTATGATTATAAATTTAAATAAAAATGATATCAATGAAAAGGAATTGTATGAAGTTGTTCGAATAAAAGTCAGAAGTTTAAAAGATAAAGGATATATGAGATTATATCCAAAAAATGTAAGAGAAGAAATGAAATTATTTTTTTTTGGAGATCACTTAGTTAATAACACAGAAGAAGTAGTTTTAACTGAAGGAGAAATTGATGCTATGACAATAAGTCAACAAACCAATTATTCCGCTATTTCATTACCTAATGGATCTAAATCATTACCAATTTACTTATTACCTTATTTGGAAAAATTTAAGAAAATTCATTTATGGCTAGATTTTGATAAAGCAGGAAAATCTAGTATTTTTAATTTTGTTAACAAAATTGGAATAGCTAGAACAAATGTTATAACTGATACTAATGTTCAATATTTAAATCTAGAAGCATTTAAAAAAAAAATAAATGAATTGTCGAAAAAAAATATTCTACATCATTATAAGGAAAATTATGCTTCTTTACATCAAGAAGAAACAAAAATACAAGAAACACAAAATGAAAATAAAAATAAGAATTTAGATAATTTAAATGATGATAAATCAGGATCCATTAATTCAACAGATGATACATTGAATACAAAAATTGTTAATGAAAATAAATTGAACCAGAATAATTTAAGTGAAAGTAAGCTAAAATCAAAGAATCCCATAAAAGAAGATAATAGTTTAGAAAATGAGAATCTGAATAAGTTGTATTTTATAGATAATAATATAATGTATATAGCAAATTCAATACAAATTAAAGATGCAAATGATTGTTTAAGGCATAATATTGATATAGGTTTTTTCATGCAGAATAGTGAAAAAATTAAACATAGTCAAATATTAAATTTTAATGATTTGAGACAAAATATATTAGAAGAATTAAAATACCCTGATAGAATAAATGGTGTTAAAAGTAAAACCATTCCATCATTAAACAAATATTTGTATGGATTAAGAATGGGAGAATTATCTATATGGACAGGATCAACAGGTGTAGGAAAAACTACACTTCTTTCACAACTTTCTTTAGATTATTGTATTCAAGGAGTGTCAACTTTATGGGGCTCATTTGAAATAAATAATATAAAATTAGGAAAAGTAATGTTAAATCAATTTTGTGGTAAAAATTTAGAAAAAAATATAGATTTATTTGATTTATATGCAGATAAATTTGAGTTATTATCTTTGAAATTTTTAAAATTTCATGGAAGCACACATCTTGATCAAGTATTAGATGCAATGGATTATGCCGTTTATGCTTATGATGTTAAGCATATAATCATTGATAATTTACAATTTATGTTAAACATAAATAAATTTTCTGATATATATGAACTCCAAAATATTGCAATTGATAAATTTAGATCATTCAGTACTAACAAAAATGTTCATATAACCTTAGTAGTTCATCCTAGAAAAGAAGACGCAAATTTATTATCCATTTCTTCCGTTTTTGGTAGTGTAAAATCTACACAAGAGGCAGATAATGTTTTCATTATACAGAAACACATTAATAAAAGCAATGAAACTATTTTTTATATAGATATAAAAAAAAATAGATTTAAAGGAAGTCTAGGAAAAATTCCATATATATATAATAAAGAAAATATGACAATAAAAGAAATTCCCATAAATTATTTAAATGAAAATTTTTCAACAAATAATTATATACATAATGATATTGCATCTAATAAATTTATATCTAATAATAACATAACCAATGACAACATAAATTTTACCTTGTGTGATGAATACGATTATATGAAACAATTAGCAGATGAATATGAATCAAAACATTCTATAAGAAAAAATTTTAAGAATAAAATTGTAGATAATTCAAATAATATCATTACGAAAACGAATAACAATAATATAATTGATAAAAATCAAATAAATAAAAATAATGAACATAATTTAAAAAAATTTTTAAACAACCAAAATGTGGATAAAAATAATGATAGTTATGATTCTACAATAAATGATCAAATTAGTGCAATGAATATGAAAAATGGAGATAACTCTTCTGATATAAATGGTATTATATCAAAAAAAAAAGAAGAAAATATTGATAATAAAAATGATAGCGGTATAAATAATGTAATGAAAAAGATTGATTTAATTATAAAAAAAGATGAAAGAAACATCATTAAAAATAGCAATTATACAGATAATATCAATTTATTAGAAGCACAAATTTCTAAAAAAAATACAAAAGTATACGAAAATTCTCCCAAAGAAAATGTAACATATGACTTGAGTAATGAGATGCTTTTAAAATTATGTGGGGAATTAAAAGATAATAAAAATGAAATACTAAATGGAAAAGTAATAATAGTGTCATTAAGAAATTGTGTAATTGATAATCACTCTTCAATAAATGATATTAGAAACTTTATTAAAACAAATAAATTAAATATTAAAACAGCCGGAAAAAATATAAAAAAAATAGATATATTTATTAATATTTTGCAAAATATTCCGAGAGAGTATATTGTAATTAAAAACGAAGAAAATATAAATAAAAAAAAAAAAAAAAATAAAGTAATAAACGGTATTGACAAAAATTACAATAATGAAATAGCATTTAATGATGACAATAAGGAAAAAACTAATATATATAATGAACAAAATTCGTTTAATAAAAATAGTAAGGAAAATTACAGTAGTAATAAAGAATCATCAAAAGAAGAAATAATAAATAATTATAATAGCATGCATACTTTTGACTCAATTGCTAATAAAGAGAATTTTTCCGATGTTGCAGAAAAGAACATTAACAATACTAATGAAAAATATAAAGTAGAAGTAGAAACTAACTATAATGATGAAATAACAAAAAAATATATAGATGATAATATAATAAATATAGATGATAATATCATAAAAAAAGGTTATAATTTTGAGTTTGATAATGGTAATGAAATAATTAAAGAAACATTATATTATTATGAACCAAAAAAAAAATTTGATGATGATATAGAATCAAGATTCTTTCTTATAAATGACAAAAATTATAATGAAAAAATAAATTACATATATAAGAACATAAAATACTGTGGTTTGGATATTGAAACCACTGGTCTAGAAGTTTTTGATGAGAAAATTAGATTAATTCAAATATCAGTTGAAAATTATCCAGTACTAATTTATGACATGTTTGATATAAATAATCAGAATATTTTTAAAGGATTAAAAGAGATTTTAGAAAATAAAAATATTGTAAAAATAATACAGAATGGAAAATTTGATAGTAAATTTTTGCTACATAATAATTTTAAAATTGAAAATATTTTTGATACCTATATAGCAAGTAAATTATTGGATAAAAATAAAAATACGTATGGATTTAAATTAAATAATATCGTTGAAAAATATTTAAATGTATCTCTAGATAAACAACAACAAAATAGTGTATGGAATCATTCTCTTTTAAATAATAATCAATTATTTTATGCTGCTCGTGATTCTAGCTGTTTACTGAAGTTATATAAAAAATTAAAAAGAGAAATAAAAAGAGAAAATTTAGATATTGTTAATGATATAGAAAATAAATGCATTTTGCCAATATGCGATATGGAATTAAATGGGATAATGGTTGATTTAGAAAAATTGAATAAAAGTACTAATGAAATTTTAAATGAATTAAACATAGAAAAAAATAATTTAAAAGAAAAACTCAAAGATGAAGATATAAATGTAAATTCTCAACAACAAGTACTAAAAGCCTTACAAAAAAATAATGTGAGAGATTATTCAAATAATTTAATTGAAAATACATCTGATAGTAATTTAAAAAATTTCATGAATCATGAGGAAGTTGCTATTTTGAGAAATTACAGAAGATTATATAAATTATATTCAGCATTTTATTTAAAACTACCATTGCACATTAATAAAAATACAAAAAAAATACATACTACTTTTAATCAATTAAAAACTTTTTCAGGTAGGTTTAGTAGTGAAAAACCTAATCTACAACAAATTCCAAGACAAAAAAATATTAGAGAAATTTTTATTCCTAATGAAAACAATATATTTATAATAGCTGATTTTAAACAAATTGAGTTAAAAATAGCAGCTGAAATTACAAATGATGAAGTTATGATTAAAGCTTATAATAATAACATAGACTTACATACATTAACAGCTAGCATTATAACAAAAAAAAGTATAAATGATGTAAATAAGGAAGATAGACATATAGCTAAAGCAATAAATTTTGGACTTTTATATGGTATGAATTATGTAAATTTAAAAAATTATGCAAATACTTATTATAACTTAAATATGAATTTAGATCAATGTTTATATTTTTATAATTCCTTTTTTGATCATTATAAAGGAATATATAGATGGCATAATCAAATAAAACAAAAAAAATCTCTAGAATATTCTACCTTATCTAACAGAAAAGTTATATTCCCTTATTTTTCTTTTACAAAAGCTTTAAATTATCCTGTACAAGGAACATGTGCAGATATATTAAAATTATCTTTAGTAGAATTATATAAAAATTTAAAAAAAATTAATGGAAAAATTGTTCTGTGTGTTCATGATGAAATTATAATTGAAGCTGAAAAAAAACATCAAGAAGAAGCCTTAAAAATTTTAGTTGAATCTATGGAAAATTCAGCTTCTTTTTTTTTAAAAAAAGTTAAATGTGAAGTTTCCGTTCAGATAGCAGAAAATTGGGGATCAAAAAACTAAAAAAAAAAAAAAAAAAAAAAATTAAATTATTAACCTATTATTTAAAATATTATAATTATGGTTAATGTAATTATTATTTTTCTGAAAAAAAAGGGATGAATAATGTTGAAACATACAAATTATTTTGCTTATCCTCATAAATTATATTGAATCAGTAAAAAAGGAAATTATTTTTACATTAAATTGGTATAGAACTTTAAAAAAATTTACTATATAAAAATAATTGAATTATATGTGAATTAAAAATAGTAAATGATTTATTATAAGATAAAAAAAAAAAATTGAATAAATATGTAAATAAATAAGTAAAGTATATTTATAAACAAAAAAATAAAATTTCCAATACATATATGGATGAACCTTATAATAAATACCATAATATATAAATATAAGTATTTAAATAAAACCAAAGAAAATAAAAATTTTAATCAATAAATATTGAAATATATATAATTTGTCAATTATTATTAAAAAAAAAAAAAAAAAAAAAAAGCTAAATAAAAACAAAAAAGGAGAAATTAATAGTTTATTCTAAATTGTCTATTTAAAAATTGAAAGTCCCTTACTTTTTTAATCAATTATTAAAATACAAAGTAAGATAAACTTTTTGAATTATCAATCTTTTATGCAATTATGAACATAATTTTAAAATATATACAATATATAATAAAACCAGTATTAATCATAAAGAGAAGAAAAAAAAAAAAAAAAAAAAATACAAAAATTTAAACATATAAATATAATAATGTTTACACATTTTTTTATAAAAGAATAAAAATTTTACACAAAAAAAATTAAAAAAATTATAATAATTATATATATATATATATATATATATATATATATATATATATTAAAATTATAATATTTTGCTTTTGTTTATTATATATTTTGCTACTATTTCAATTTCTTTCTATTTGGCATTAATTCTTAAAAATATAATTACCAAAAAATTAACGTTTTATATTTTAATAAACTTTTTGAAATAATTTTCATCCTGGAAATTGCAAAAGCAATCACATATTTTTTTTTAATTTATAGGAATTATTTAACGCTTGAAAAATCATTTCTGCTCTTAACTAAAAAAAAAAAAAATAAAAAAAGTGATGTTTTTTTTTATATTTATTATAATTATTATTACGTATATACATTATTCTATATAATTTAAATTCCATATATATATATATATGTATATGAATTTTTTTCTTTTATTATTTATTTTATTAACAAATTATATATATATATATATATATATATATATATATATATATGTCTGGGATATTTTAATTCCTTCATAATAAATGTCAAATATATTTTAAATTTTTTTAAATATTAATTTTTTTTTTTTAAGTTTTTTAAAATTAAAATATTTTATATATATTTAATTTTTTAATTTTATTTATAAATAATTATCTTTTCTTTTATTATTTTTTATATTTTTTTTTTTTTTTTTTTTTTTTTTGACAAACATTAAAACTCTTTTAAATATAATGCAAATTATTTTTTATATAAATAGACAATTATGTATGCTTTTATTTAATACCACTTGTTCTAATGGTTTATTTCTATGTTTATCTGGATGACATAATAATATAGCATTTTTATAGGTTTTTTTAACCATTTTTGTATTTGATATTAAATCGGACATAGATACATTTTTCCATTCTGCATTTTCCCATAATACATCATTCAATGTGCTTAACATTACTTTGATGTCTTTATATGTATCGTCTGAATTTTTTGACCATTTAACAATTTGTTTTTTAACATTTTCTGATATTAATATTTTTTCTTTAAACTTTTCTTGTTCTTGATATCTAGATTCTTTTAGTTCTTCTAATCGATTATTAAGTTTGGCTTTAAGAAATTTTTCATCTTTTTTAATTACATTATTATTTATTAAATCATCATAATTATTGTTACTATTATTTTTGTACATTAATGACAATCCTTTTGAAGATGATAAATTAACTTTTTCTAAAATATTTTCATTAATATCCTTATTCTGAAATAATTTTTCGAAATTTTTCTCATTTTTATTATTTTCATTATTATTCTGATTTATTTCTGTTGTTATATTTCCTTCATATGATTCATTTAAAATATCACTATTACTTCTCTTTTTTAGATAATTATTATCGCTATCTTCATTTTGAAAAAAATGTTCATTTTCACTTTCAATTATCCCACTTATGTTTTCCTTTTTTACACAATCTTCACTTAAAATATCTCTTTTATTATTTTTTTTTATATAAAATTTATTTCCATTTTTTTTTTTTAAATCATCATTATAATACATTGAATTTTCAAATTCTTCAGTATCATTAGAATAACTGAAATTCATAAAATTACTTTGACTGGAGGTTTTTTTATTATCGCCATCAAAGTCTTCACTATTAATTATGTCATTACTATCAATACTACATTTTATGCTTTTATCTTCTTTCTTAATGAATTCATATGAACACAGATGTTTTTCATTCATTATGTAAATAGGTGAATTATTATATTTATAATTATTAAAATAAATTTCATTAAAATTCCTATAATTTTTATGATTAATAAATAATACTTTTGCAACTATTTTTCCATGGCATAAAGGAATAAAAGCATCATCATTATTTATATCTATCCATATATAATTCAAATTATCTTGTCTTAATATGTTTTTTATCTCTGCTTCATCAGATATAATATGATTAGTTAAATTTTTTTCTTTTTCCTTCTGCTTTAATAAAGGTGCATTATTTCTATATCCTTTATTAATGACTTCAATTAAATCTGTCAATATTATTTTAAAACGAAAAATGATATCACCTTTAAAAGGAAAGTATTCTTTAAATTCTTTGAATTTTAATTCATTAGAATTTTGAAATGGTAAAAAAAATATGTTAACATCATATGGTTGGTTTTCATTTTCTCCTATAATAATATATGTAACATAATTATATTTCGTAAAAGAATTTTTTTTCAGTAGTTTATTATTAACATAATTAACACCACCTATGGCTATTTGTTGTAAATTTGAAGCTAATGAAAATATATCCATTTTAATTTTTGTTTTTTTTTTTTTTTATTGTTATTAATTATTCAATCTTTTTTTTTTTTTTTTTTTTTTTAAATATATTTTGCTTTGTACGTTTTTCTTTTTTCTTTCTTTTCTTATAAATAAAAATGAAAGAAAAGAAAAAAAAAAAAAAAAAATTAA